TTCACAGAATGGTTGAGGTTGGAGGGGGCCCCAGGTGATCATCTAGTCCAACCCCCTGCTCCAACAGGGACACCCAGAGCACGGGGCACAGGGTGGCATCCAGGCAGGTTTTGAAGATCTCCAGAGAAGGAGACTCCACAGCCTCTCTGGGCAGCCTGTTCCAGGGCTCTGTCACCCTCACAGGAAAGTTCTTCCTCACATGGAGGTGAAATCTCCTGTATTTCAATTTGTACCCTGCAGGAGTACAGTGCTGCTGAAAATACTGTGTTCTTATAAGTCCAGAGCCCCTGAGCTAAAACTGAGTGTTCAGTTCTGAACAGCCAGCTCAAGAAAGACATCAAAATGCACTTGGCATTTTGAAACAGACACTCACTAGGAAATGGAAGATAGAATCCAAAGAAGAAAGGAAAAGGCTAGGAGAGTTTTTTAACCAGTATTTTCCCACCTTGGGGGCGGGGGGAGGAACCTTATGTGAAGATACTGGAATATTGCCACCACCTTTATAGCCAGGGGCAAGGGTAGGTGAGATGCTTTTTTTTTTTTGCTTTTCCTTCTTAGGAAGAGAAAATATGCACTTGAAAACATGGGAAAAGAATTGAAAATGCATGATATATCAATTTGTACTTTATTACCTCCACAAGGTAACACTGATGACAAAATTTAAGTAATTTAAAGAAAGATTTTTAACTTTGTCAGGATATAGAAGTTCTTGCATCTACATATAGAAGTGCCTGTAACTATTATGGTCTAAGAAGGACAAGTCTATATATGAAAGGTTCTACAACTTCCTCCTGCAGAAATTCTTATATCACTATCTGACATACATGACACTGGCCAGTATCAGAAAAGAAAACTTGGGAAAAATGGGCCATTATTTCCAAATTATCTTCTTTCAGAGGAAGACTATAGAAAATTTAAAAAAAAAAGTCTGAATAATATAAAGGATACTTGACTAGTTCCTGTAATTCTTCTCCCTTTGGGGAGATGCATAAAGAACACGTAGAAAGCTATCTTGATGAAAAAAATATTGAAAGATTGTGAAAAGCAATTTATTTTGATTTCTCGCAAACAAGTTTTTACTTGAATATGTAATATACATATGGAAAGATCCCAGTATAACCATTCAGTAATGGCTGTATTAAGAGATCATCATATCTTATTTTGTTATGATCCCTTTAAGCAAATGGCAGCAACTTCAGGTACAGCATGGTTTTCATTAAATCACTCAACAACATGGCCTTGTAGTTATCAATCATATTTCTTATTTTCATGAACCCATGAATCAAACATTCTAAAATTAATGTCTCACAGCTTTCCGTTTATTACAGTTCTTTTATGATAATTGGATGGAAAGAATACTTGGAGTAGCACTGTTAGCTTTAAATTAGTAGAGCTACATAGAGTTCTCTTTAGCAAAGCGAACAGTAATTCCCCACTCCACAAAAATGTCCATGGAAAAAAATAAAAACTGTGGTTCTAGTAGAGACAACGGCTCATTTATGAAGTTACCATACAGGTCTGGCAACCTGAGATCAAAAGTGGAATGAGGAATGATTTAAAGTCTGTTTCATCATGCTTTCTCTTACAAGACTATGAAAAAAGTCTTGTAAAAAACTTTCAAAGGGAGAGCACACAAAATACCACATTTATGTAAACAAGTTGCATCTCTCATAACATTTCTTTGGCTATTCAACCTACTGGATACATCAGACCATGAGAAGAGCAATTAATGCCAGCAGCCAAATGCTTTCCATTCTTCCTCCAGTACAGAAAATTGGGGCCAATATTGCTTGTTGTCATCTATACTAGCCTAGAGGGACACATTCAGCAGGCAGAGTAGAATATGTACTCTCGAAAGGTAAATTATTCGGATTTTACAGCAGCTATAACCATAATTTATAAACTGAATTAACGCTTAATGTAATTTGAGGGTTGAGGAAAATTACTTCAAAAACATTTTATTCTAGAAACATTTTTATTTTCTTGCATCTGCTAAATGAAACACAGAACATTAGCAGCAAAAAACAAGACTTCTAACATTTCACAATACATTGGTTTTTCTGTTAAGGCAATCTACGTTAATTATGAATCAGCTCTGCATACTTTGACAGTTTTTCAAAATATGTATAAGCCACCATAAGCTGTTACAATTTCTATAGAAAGAGTAAAAAAAGTAAACATATTACACCACACTCTTTAGAACTCCTCAGTGTACCTACACTCTGCCATCCCAAGACAGAAAATAGCTACAGGTATTAGTTGCAAGAGAAAGAGTTCCTCCTAATAAGTCTTTGTTTAGCCAGTATTTAAAAAGTTATATTAAGAAACTGGGTTTTGTGAAATTATTCAGCTAAATTTTGGATTAGCAATCACTTCTACATTGTACTGTTTAGGAGCTGTGTTTTAATGTTGGTAAAGTACATTGTGTATTTCTTTTTTTTTGTTTTGTTTTGTTTTTTCTTTGTTTTTTCTTTGTTTTTTTTTTGTTTTTAAAAATAAAGTATAGTAAGAAGATGTTATCCCACGTTCTTGAAAAACTCTGCCAGAACTTGAGCCATAAAAGTCACCAGCCAAGGTAATGCTAATGTGATTTAGGGGGAAAAACGCAGAGGGTATTAAGCAGCATAAGATGATTGCATTATGTCTCTAAATGATCCTGAGAGTGTCAGTATTGGTTTGCTGCATCTAATTCAAATGCATATTTTAAAATACTTTCAATACATAGAAAAACTTGAAGAATTTAGTACCTCTTATCAGAGAAAAAGTTAAGGGGGCCAGTCATGATTTATGACTACACACAGGCGATTAGAAAAGTTGATACTTTAGAGGTCAAAATAAATCCATAATAAGACCAAAATAGCTTAAGGTGGAGCTTAATATAATGCAAATATAATGTGAAGTGAAAACAACATACCTGGGGTAAATAACCATTCAAACTGCTTATGAGGAGGTATGGGTGAATTCTCATCAGTTGAGGTCTTCAAATTCGTATTAAATGCTTTCCTAAAATGTGTATACTGCAATTCAAAACAAAGCTACTGAATTTATTTAGAGAAACTCTGTATAGAAATTCAGTGGCCTGTTGAATTTCAGAATAAATCATCATTATGTTGTCTTCTTACTTTATATATTTGTGAGATTTATTTTGTAACATAGCAAATAAACGGAAGGTGCTTGGCAAAGGTCCTTTTTCCTTGTAGAATGTAGTAGCATTTAAAGATAAATTTAAAAATAGATAATCTGCAGCTACATCTTTTAAAAATATGCTTTCTTTTGGTTTGTTTTTCCTATTGTTCAGAGTTGCACGGCCCACTAGTTCACTCTGATTTGCATAATCATATATCTAGTCTTCAGTTTTTCTGTTCCTATTTATAAACCATTCACAAACCATCCACTTAAGTGTGGCTTGTTGTAAAATTAATTATGGTTGTTTCCGAGGGAAAAATGTAGTGCAAACAAATTAAGAATGAACAAGGACATTCTAAAAATCGTGGGCTCTGATCCTGCAAAGAGATTTGTGCATATGTCCGAGCCCATCCCAAATAGTCAGTGAACTACTTACTGCAGGTATCCGTGCAACTGCGCAGCCAGAAGTTTAGCAGGAGACAAAAAAAAAAAAAAAAAAAAAAAAAAAAGACAAATCAACCACACAACACACAACCAGTCCAGCACACAGTATCTTCTGGAGAAATGGTAAAGCTCACAAAGCCCTTTGTACTTAGAGAAAAAAAGCAAACAAGCAATGAAATGTGTGTGGAGTTGCCAATATGACTCTCAACATAGGATGGAAGAGCAGGGCGAGAGGGGTGATATGCAGGCACATCTTCGCCCCTGTGTAAGTTTCAGTGTCTGCGAGAAAGGTATCCTCCAAGAAGAGGGCTGGATATTTAAGCTGTGGGTCCAGGAGAGCAGATTCCTCTGTAGGCTGTAGATGTTTGTGAGGGCTGTTGCTGGCCCAGGGATCTTGAAGACCCCTCTGCTTCTTGCAAAAGGGGTAAGCAGTCTGATGTGAAAATCTCCAAGTTGAGTATTTTCACATGAAGTATGTATTCCATTATTTCATGTGGGGGGGAAAAAAATTGTTTGTACACCAGCAACATGGCCTTTGCAAACTGTTTATCTACCGGGAACAGTTGAGATGTTCCATGAAGAAGCTATGCACCATTAGGAAGAAAAATTACCTTCAAAATGAAGTCCTAAAAAGACGTTCATGGGCAATACTACTTTAACTGTTTGCATCAGTCACTGATTCTATGCTTTTGCAGACATGGATAATCCTTCTCTATTCTGACAGTGCATATCCCATGAAAAACCTACTAGATCCCATGCTAACTTGATAAAAAAGTTTCAAAAATAGCTAGTTACAGAACCATTGAGAAGTGCAGAAAAACTTTTCACAGTACTTTCACAGTATATCTCACAAGCAGTGACTCTCAGTGAGGGACATAAGATTCAGAGTAAAGCATGAAGCCGAAGAAGTTCCTCCTTGCAGGATCTGTGTTGAGTGTGAATGCAAAGTCTGAGGGGCTGCTATGGGAGAGATGGGGGCAGGCGAGAAGCCAATGGCCATAGCCCTGGTGCAGGGACGGAAATACTTAATTGTAGCCAGTTTCTCAATAATAAAGTGCTGAACCTCTGCTTTCAGAACTAGCACCGTTCCTTCAACTACAGATACTCCCTACTTCTGTACACCTCCCTGCACCCCCAGGTAACGGTGCCTTTTGATGTTAGCAATAGTGAGTACAGCTAGAAGTAATGCCCTGGTTAAAAGAAGGTTTTGGCCTCCATACTTAAAAGCTACATGCTGAAATATATTTTTACTAATTGAGATTTACAGTATAAGGCTGAGAGAGTTCCAGGGACTCTTCCTAGCTAACTGTTACTTCTATGGCTGCAACTAAGATCTAGGGTCCAGCGTTTCTTTGATGGATTTCTGGCTAGGGATTGTTTGGTTTCAGGCTCTGTCTTGATAACCAGTGAAATGGTGTTTCCATGGTCAGTTAAATGGCATTTTCTACAAGGAGCCAGCTTGTGAGGAGCAGCGATGAGTCTCTCAAATCAAAGGAACTCCCACGCGTGCCTCCAGATTTGTCCCAGTTCTCCTTGCCCAGCGGCTCTGTTCAGCTGGGTTTGTGCACTGTATGGTGATTTATCGGGTGGTGGAGGTGAAGCTCTTCTTTCCGCGGCCATCATTAGGACTTGCACCCTCCTCCTTTGCAGCTCGATAAACATTTTTCTGAACAACCTTCTCATGAGATCCATGGAAAAGCAAGGCCTGTAAGGAAGTTGCAGACGCCTTTTGTTGGCCAAGCAGGAACTTGCTGCCGCTCTGAGTTTTCTTTGAATGATGTCAGCTAAGCCCTCGTGTTCCACTGGAGAATCGATGCCTGTAATTTTAATGTTTCCTGTCTCAATAATGTTTCATTATTGCTATTCTGAATACAAAATTCTGCTAAGTATGTCCTAGGCAGCCAGTGGTGGCATTAGGAGTGGAAGAGATGATATACGCTTGCAAAGAGAGAAGTGAGGTGATGGTGTCAGCTATGTTCCCAACAGTTGGCATTGGGGCATCAGGATAGGTATTGATAATTCATTCAAAATAGAAAGTAGAAAAATAAATGTTCTACAAGGAAAGCTGCATACATAATTTAGATATTATTTAATTGTACAGTGCTTTGAAAAATTAATTTCATAGAAAGTCAGTACAACCATCTGACTAAATACTCTTGGGCCTGCAGAGAGTGGGATATTTTTACTTGCCTTTATTTGCTTAAGGCTGCCTTACCCTGTATCTTTCTTGGGTAGAATTTTTCATGTATATAGCAATAATACTAACCCTTAAGACAGCAGCAGTAGCTTTTATATCACAGGCCATATACTAATGGTTTTTAACCAGGTAAGTATTGAGCTGTTCCCTACAAATATTAAAAATAATCAGAAAAAGGGGTATATTAAGAGCAAAACAGAACCTGTGTTCCATTCCCCACTGACATACTTAAATATGAGCAGAATCATGCTACAGTGTTCATATTACCTTCCTAGAACTCCTATATAATTGATTTACTGCTTTTCTGCTCCACATTCATAACTCAAATAGGACTTTTTTGAGTGTTTAGTGCTCTGATGAGCTGTAACTCGATGACCCACATAGCATTTTCAGCTTCCTTACAGCAGCAAGCAGTTATGCATTTTACTGGTACAGTGCTTTTCAGCCAATACTGCATCAGATCCATTAAAGCAGTGACCTATTTTTCTAGCCCGTAAATATTATTTCTGTGATGAAACTATTAAAATAATCTTGCTGCATAGCATTTTGCTCTGAAAAAGTAGAAGTGTCAAATTCATGCTAGATTGGTTTTCTGAACATGTTTTTCAGCATCATTACTGAAGACCAATTAGGTAAGTTATGTTAGGTAAGGCTTTATGTAGCTTAAAAAACAGCAAATTAATTTCGTGCAACTAGTTAAAGACATTACTGGTTGGCAGACTGGATTGTTTTACCTTGCATACCAGAGCTTTTTACCACTCTACAGTGAGAGTTTATTTCTAATGACAGCTTTTTTGAGTGTTCAGGGCCCCCTAATTACTTCGGATTGCAAATTTTTTTGGTTCAGGCTATAAAAATACATTAATTATTTCTCCTATTACAAATGCAGATTTAACATTAACTCCTTGGTATGCAATTATGTTGCTCTTTCATTGTCTGAATTTCCCTTGAAAAACTCCATTTCGACATCAACACCATCTGAATACAATGTTATTGCTGTTACCCTGCAATGTGAAAAGACAAATCCCACTTACTCATATCATCATAGTTGGAGGTCATCTCTTGTGTCAGGAACAAGGGTGGTTTCCATGGTGACATAATCTCAATTTTCCTAAGTTCTTCACAACAGTGTTTCCACTGGCCTGAGAGAGAATAGAGAACAATGACTGAACTTAAACACTTCTACCAGAAAAAAAAAAAAAAAAATCAAATCTGTCCAAGGAAGCTATCTGCAAGCACTGCTAACGGCCAGCATTCCTTCTTTTTCTAGTAGGAATGCTCAGAAAGCAGTGTATTTCCACCTCTGAACTCATTCTAATTTTTAGTACAAGTGTCGTTAGTCATCTGTGACTATCCTAGCCAATACTGTTATTTTACAAAGACTGAATATCATAGTTTGCTTTCATATCCCCAAACTCAGTGCCCCCCAAATTCATCAGAAAATAAAGAATTTTAAAAGTCATAATTTACGACAAGGAAGTTGCTTAAAGTTTTGAGGGAACAACCTCCTACATAAAGCAAACTCAGTGCTACACAACTGTTACAGAAGCAGTCCGTCTTTAAAAGAAGAATGCCCATCTCTGTAGGAAGACAAGGAAATCTCCTTTCCATTAATAGACTTTGACCTTAAGGAAAACAAGACACAGTAAAATTTCTTCATTCATTTCCATCACTCCAAGTTTTCTGAGTGCATTAATTTAAAGAGAATTTTAGAATCACTGAAGAAAAAAGGCATTTAAATGCCAAGTGACCCATTTTTTTTCTCACATAAGGAAATGACCAAAACTCCCCCCCCAAAATGCATATGTTATCTATAATGAATTCTAAAAGTATTTTTTTACCCCTCTCCACAGCTAATTTAAAGAGGATGTCCTAGTTTTTTTTTTGGTGTATTTCTTTGATAGAACCTCTGCCTATTGTAACTCAAGAGTTAAAAGGAGAAGAAACACACTTTGATACCCAGATTCCAGAGCCTCAGTTAAATGATTTTAGTGGTGTGGCCTCTGATTAAACCCTCATATTTCATGGATTGTCCTGGTTCTCTTTTTCTGACCTGATGAAAATGATTATCAGGCACCAACTGTGCACTGTGAACGGTGGCAGTGTTAGACAACTGACAATTGTCCTCTATTGTTAATACACCTGATTCAAGCTACTAAAATAGATGAAAAATATGAAGACAAATCAGTCTATATGGCTTATATAATTAATATTTGTGGTTGAATAAGCAACACAGCTTGCAGCTTCAGTAGTTTCACTGTCTTGAACTAAAAATTGAATTTTGGGGGTAAGAACAGTGAAGACTCCAAAGCATTTTGGGGAGGGAAAGGGAGGAAAAAAAACAACACAGTGGAGGAGTAGAGGAGTGCATCAGTTCATCCCATCTGCTGTAGAGCTTCAGCTACTGCTTTTACCAACTTCAAGTAATGTGTCTTTGCAGGACTGGACTGTAGCACAGTAAGGGGGCTTTGGGAGTGTTTCCCTGTGGCCAGGGACATCAAAATCTGAGTACCAACAGAATCGGGAAATCCCTGTTGTAACTGTGACAACTTAATTCATCTGTAATGCTGCTGAGCAAGGGAATCCCACACTCACATGCCTGTTGGCAAGAGCTGAGTGAATCTTCCTTTTGCCAAGGCCCCAGATAACTCCCCTGGTCATGCAGCAATCCAGCATCCTCACTTCCCTACCCAAAGGTTTCATGCTGGCAGGATCTTGTAGAACCAACACGCCTCTGGCAGGACATGCAGGCACAGATGGACTCTTCCTGCTTACTGTGGAGGATGGGAAGGGGGGAGAATTGAGCAGATCTTAAAATCTAGAACAAAGCCAGAGCAGACCAAGATCTGAGATTAGTTGGAACTTTTCTGCTTCTGGCCATGTGGATGGTAACTTACCAATATTTGCCTTCTAGTGTCTCCAGTCATGGCTCAGTAATATCCCAAAGAACATTTTTCTTCATGACTGCAAATAAAGGATTATAAGTCAATTCCAATTCAGATTGTTCAGTTTCGTTTGATGTTGCATAATAACCCACACTCGAAGGGCAACTGGGAACAGTGCGCTTGCTTACTCAGATCATGAAAGTGCTGCCAGAAAGCCTCCATCCACTTGTGAAGTTCCTCCTACTGTCAGTAGCAGAAAGTTGCGTCACAGCCTCCCCAGCCACAAGATTGATAACAGAAACGTTGCTAGTTCTTTTCTTGGTGTCCTTATCCATAGCTTGATTTTTTTTTCCTAAGAATGACAACATTTAAAGAAGCATTTGTGGTAGTTATGCATAAAGTTCTACTGGAAAAAGTTCCCAACTTGAAAATAACACTTTGCTCTAATACCAAAAAGAAACAAAAAACAGAAACGGTTAGTTATTTAGTTATTTCAAAACAGATGTTTTGGATTTGTCTTATTGAGAGAGGTACGTAGAAACATATATTGGTGACAAATATAAATTTATTTGGAGAAGGTGAAAAAGGTCCGAAATTATACAACAGTACTGTTAGAGTCAAGTTTTTACGAACCCTTCTGTTCAGGTATATGGTTCAACTGATTTTAGCATCAAGACTGATCCAGTGGTACTTTTATAGTAAATCGGTTCTGCATTGTGGAGTTACTACAGTATAAAGTAGCAGCACAATACAAAATTACCCCTAGTGAACATATATACTTGTGTAAGATACAGATTTTAACAGTTTATAAAACACAACTGTAGCATTTTCCAGAACAAAGCTAGCTAACACTACTACTGATTACAATGCTGATGTGAAAATAATGCAATATCAGTCTGGTCAGTAGTTAGCTAGTTAGGTATGTAGTTAGCTAGTACAGAGGTCAGGTAGTTAGCTAGGTAGGTCGTAGTTAGGTGGGCAGTTGGTTAGGTTTGAAGTTACCTTGTTGGGCATTAGTTAGGTAAGTATTTTGTTGGGTAAGTACCTAGTTATGTGGGTTGTTACGTGGTCATTCAGCTAGGTAGATAAGTGGGTAGTTAGCTAGATAGATGGATAGATGGATAGGTGGGTATTTGGCCAGGTAGTTAGCTAGTTGGGTGAGTAGTTGCCTTGTTAGCTGGGTAGTTAGGTGTGTAGTTAGCAAATTAGATGGGTAGTTAGCCAGTTGGGTAGCTAGCTAGTTAGGTGGGTAGGTAGCAAACTAGGTGGGTAGTTACCTAAGTGGATAGGTAAGTAGCTAATTGGTTAGTTATCTAGATAGGTAGTTAGCTTGTTAGTGCATTGTTACCTATTTAGAGGGGTAGTTTGGTGGGTTGTTAGGTGTGTTAGCTATTTAGGTAAGCAGTTAGCTAGTTGGGAGGGGTATGTTTGTGGGTGCCTGCTGGACTAAGTGCTTAGGCAGTTAGGTAGGTAGGTGGGTAGTTAGCTAGCTCATTGTTTAGTTAGGTGGGAGGTTAGCTAGTTAGGTCAGTGGCCAGGTAGTTAGGTGGGTACTTTGTTGCATATTTAGCTAGTTACATGGGTAGTTGGGCAGTTTCCTAGGTAGCTCAGTAGTTAGCTTGTTAGGGAGTAATTAGCCTGATATATGGGTAGTTGGATGAGTATTTAGTAAGGTTAGTAGTTAGATAGGCATTGCCTAGGTAGTTACTAGTTCAGTGAATAGCTTGTTAGGCTGGTAGGTAGGTGGGTAGTTAGGTGCGTAGTTAGCTAGTTGAATGGGTAGTTAGGTTGTTAGCTAGGTGGGTAACTAGCTTTGTATGTGGTTATTTAGGAGAGTAGTTATTTAGTTAAGTGGGAGATTAGGTGTGTAGGTATATGTCATTAGGTACTTAGTCATAGCCAGTTACATGGGTAGTTAGGTAGGTGGGAGGTTAGCTAATTAGGTGAGTAGTTAGCTAGTTTGGGGAGGACTGTGTGTGTTCATGGGTGCCTGGTGGGGAGGGGCTGCACGTATTTTGGGGAGCCTGGTTTGTGGGGGCATGAGTGTTTGTGGGGGCAGTGGGAGTTGGGTGTAGTTAGGTGGCTTGACTGGTGTGTAGTTTGCATGTGGGTAGTTAGGTAGTTAAAAGTGGTTAGCTAGTTTGGAGAGTAGTTGGCTTGTTATGTGGGTTAGATGGGTCGATAGTGGGCATTTATTTAGGTAGTTACATGGGTGTTACATGGGTGAGCTTGTTCGGTGAGTAGTTGGGTAAATAGATGGGTAGTTAGCTGGGTGGTTAGCTAGTTGGATAGTTAAGTGGGTTAGGTTAGGATAGTTACGTGGGTTATCTGGGTAGGTGGATACTTAGGGTAATTACATAAATAAGTAGTTATGTAGTTAGGTGAGTAATTGGGTAGTTAGCTAGTTACGTAGGTTATCAGGTGAGCAGTTATGTGGGTATGTATCTACATAGGTGGTTAGGTGGGCACATGTGTGGTTGAGCATGTAGTTACCTAATTAGGTGAGTTTCATAATTAGGTGTGTAGTTAGGAGGGTAGGTAATTAGGTGGATAGTTAGGTAGTTCGGAGGTTAGTTAAGTGTGTAGTTACATGGTTAGCTAGTTAGGGTAGTTTGGAGAGTAGTTAGCTAATTAGGTGAGTATTATCTAGTGTAGAGGTTAGTTAAGTGTGTAGTTAGGTGGATAGTTACCTAGTTTTGAGAGTAGTTAACTAATTAGGTGGGTGGTTAGCTAGTTCAGGTTTATAGTTAGCTGGGTAGCTGGATTGGAGATTAGGTTAGCTAGATAGGTGGGTAGTTAGCTTGGAGAGTAGTTAGCTAGTTAGGCAGCAGGTTAGGAGGGTAGTTACCTAGATAGGTGAATAGTGAGGTGTGTACTTAGTAACGTCAGTAGTTCGGTGGGCATTTAAGTAGCTAGATGGGTATTTAGCTTGTTAGGTGGGTAGTTAGGTAGTTGTATGGGTAGTTAGGTGTGTTGTTAGCTAATTAAGTGGGTAGCTATCTTGTTAGGTGCCTAGTTGGGAGGGTAGTTAGCTAATTAGGTAGGTAGTTAGGCAGCTAGGTGTGTAGTTAGCTAGTTAGGTGAGGAGTGAGTTAGTTGGATACATAGCTTGTTACATGGCTAATTAGGTGGGTAGTGAAGTGGGTATATAGCTACTTAGATGGGTAGTTAGGTGGGAGATTAGGTAGTCGGGTGGGTAGTTAGCCATCTAGTTAGCTAGTTAGGTGGTAGTTGGGTAGGTTAGGTGGTTATGTGGGTAGTTAGCTAGGTAAGTGGATAGTTAGAAGGGTTGTAAGGCCAGTAGTTTAGTGGGCATTTGTCTAGATAGTTTGGAAGTAGTTAGCTAGGTGGGTAGTTAATAAGGTTTGTAGTTGGCTAATTAGATGTGTAGTAAAGTTCTTTGGTGGGTAGTTAGGTTTTTAATTAATTAGGTGGGTAGTTAGTTGACCAGTTACCTCCTTAAGTGGGTATTGGCTGTTTTGGTGTATAGTTGGTTATGTAGATGAATAGTTAAGAGGGTATTCAGCTACTTAGGTGAGTAGTTAGGTAGGTAGCTAGTTAAGTGAGTAGCTAGTTAGGTGTGTAGTTAGGTAATAAAGTGAGCTAGGCGTTTAGCTGTTTCGGTGTTTAGGTGAATAGTTAGCTAGTCAGTTGAGTAATTAGGTGGGTAATTAGTAAGATGTGTAGTTAGGATACTTAGGTGGCTGTTTAGCTAGTTAGTGACATAGGTGGGTGGTTAGGTGGGAGGTTGGGTGGTTTGTTAGGTAGATAAGTGGGCAGTTGGGTAGTTAGGTAGATGTGTAGGAAGCAAACTATGAAGGGTTTAGCTAGTTAGATGGGTAGTTAAATGGGTAATTTAGTTATGTTGACTACCTAGGTGGGTAGTCAGGTGAGTAGTAGCTACTTAGATGGGTAGTTAAGTAGTTGTTAGGGGGTAGTTACAAGGCAAATTATCTAGTTAGGTGTGAGGTTAGCTTGCTTAGTTGGCAGTTAGGTGGATTCTTTGATGAGCAGATAGCTAGTTATGTGGGTTGTTAGGTGGTTGGTTAGCTAGATACGTGGATAGTTACATGGACAGATAGGTGGGTAGCTAGATATGTCACTAATAAGGTTGGTAGGTGGGCATATAAGTAGATAGTTAGCTATTTGGGTGAGTAGTTTATTGGGTGGGTAGTTAGGTGTGTTAGAAGGATAGGTAGTTAGGTGGGTAGTTAGCTAGTTAGGTATCTGAGGGTGGTTAGCTAGTTAGGTGGCAGGTTAGGTGTGAAATTAGGTGACAGGTTAGGTAGTTAGGTGGCTAGGTAGCAAGCTAGGTGGACACTCAAGTATCCAAGTAGATAGGTAGCTAGTTGGTTATTTAGTTAGGTGGGTAGTTCACTAGTTAGCTGATTAATTTACGTGAGTAGTTAGTGGGGAGGGCTGCATGTGTTGGTGGGTGATTGATGCAGGCAACTTGTGGGTGCCTTGTGGCAAGGAGGCTCCTGCGTGTCTTTTTTGGGGGCGGGGGGGGGTGCCTGTGCTTTTGGGTATCTGGTGAGGGAAGAGCACTGCTGCTGTGTGTGTTCATTTGGGAGGGAAGGGTAGTTAGGTGGCTTGTTAGTGGACAGTTACATGGGAAGTTGGGAGAGGAGGTAGTTAGTTCAGGTAGATAGGTGAGTAGTTAGCTAGGTCAGTGCTTAATTAAGTGGGACACTAACTAGTTAGGTTGGTGATTAGGAAGTTACATGTGTACTTTGTTGTGTATTTAGCTATGTGGCTTGTTTGCTAGCTAGATAGCTATATAGCTTAGTTACCTTTTTAGGTGGTTAGTAGGTAGGTAGATGGATAATTAGCTAGATATATGAGTAGTTAGGTCAGTATTTAGGTAGGTGTTTGGCTAGGTAGTCAGCTAGTTGGCTGATTAGCTCATTAGGTGGGTAGTTAAGTAGATAGGCAAGTTGGATGGGTAGTTATTTAGGTGGATAACTGGCTTGTTAGGTTGCTGGTTAGACTAGTTATCTAGTTAGGTGTGTAGTTACATGAGTAAATGGGTAGTTATACAATTAGATGGTTTGTTTAAGTGGGTAGTTAGTGTTAGGTAGGTAATCAGCTAATTAATGAGTTGGATAATTAGCTGGTTAGGTGATTAGATGGTAGGCTAGTTAGGTTTGTACTTAGGAGGACAGTTAGGGTGGTTACCTAGGTGCATAGTTAACTTGTAAGAACTGGTAACCATTTAGATGGGAAATTCTCTAGTTAGAGGTGTTAGGTAGTTTAGTTAGGTGGGTATTTAGCTAGGTAGCTGGGTAGTTATGTGGGAGAGCAGGTAGTTCGGTGGCAGCTAGCTTGGTGATTAGTTATGTGAGTAGTTAGGTGGGGGGGTTGTTAAGTGATTAGCTAGATTGGTAGCTAGGTGGGTAGGTAGCAAGCAGGGAGTAATTAGAGCTGGGTAGTTTGCTACTTAGGTGTGTGGTTAGCTAGTTGAGTAGTTAGGTGGGTAGTCAGTGAGGTTGAGGAAACCTGCATGTGGTTGTGGGTGCCTGATCGATTTATTTTTTTTCCGGGGGGGGGGTGCATTTGTGGGTGCCTGGTGATTTTGGGCGGCGCTGGGGATGGAGAGGCCTGATTTTGGGGGCGGGGGCAGTCTGGTTTGTATGGGTGGGGAGGGGCACGGCCTGTGTTTCTGGGTACCTGGTGAGGGGCGAGCACTGCGTGCAGCTGGTTTGGTAGTTGGCTAATTAGGTGCCTAGTTAGGTTATAGATTAGGTGGTCATTTATGCAGGTAGTTAAGTAGTTGGTAGGTGCTTGTTAGGTGGGTATTTAGCTGGGAAGTTAGCCACTCAGGTTGGTAGTTATGTGGGAGTACTTTATTGTGTAGCTACATAGTCATGTAGGTTGTTAGGTGGTCAGTTAGCTGGGTATTTAGCAAGATAGGTGGGTAACTAGCTTGTTAGGTGGGTAGTTAGTAAGGGCACTAGGTGGGCTTTTGACTAGGTAGCCAGTTGGGTGAGTAGCTTGTTAAGTGAACAGTTAGCTAGATCAGTAAATAGTTGAGTGGCTAGTTTCAAGGGTAGTTAGTTATGTGGGCAGCTAGCTAATTAGGAGTAGTTAGCTGTGTAGCTTGGTGGGTAGTTAGGTAGTTGGGAGGGTACTTAGCTACTTAGGGTAGTTAGGTGGGAGTTTAGGTGAGGCGGTAGCAAGCTAAGTGGGTAGTTAAAATAGGTAGGTGGGTAGGCAGATGGATCATTAGTTACTTCGATAGGGTGGATAGTTAGCTTGTTAGGTGTGTTGTTAGCTGATTAGGTGGTTAATTGTCTAGGTGGGTAGATAGCTAGTTACATGGGTAATTAGATGTGTAGCTACATAGCTGGATAGTTAGCTGGTTGCACAGTTAGGTGGGTAGTTCAGTAATTAGGTAAGAGGGTAGCAAGGTCAGAGGTTAGGTGTGTGATTATCTACTTAGGATAGCAGTTTTTCTGTTAGGTGGCTAGTTAAGTTTGTCATTAGGTGTGTAGCTGGTCTGAAGTTAGGTAGCTAGGTGGGTAGTTAGCATGTTAGGTAGGGTATTGGCTAGATAGCTTGGTAGGTGAGTAGTAAGGTCAGTAGTTAGATGGCGATATTTGTCTAGGAAGTTTGGTGAGTAGTTAGCTAGTTAGGTAGGTGGGGAGTTACTAATAAGGTTAGTAACTAACTGGTTAGAGCTGCAATAAGGTGGGGGGGGCAATTAGGTAGTTAGGTGTGTAGTAAGGTAAGTGGATGGGTAGTTAAATTAGTAGTTCATTAGTTAGGTGGGGTGGGCAGTTATCACAGGTGGGTATTGGCTTGTTAGGGTGGTCATCTAGTGAGCTGAAGAGTTAGGTAGCTAGCTAGTTACATGGGTGGCTAAGTAGTTAAGTCGCTAAGTGTGAAGTTAGCTATTTGGGTGTTTAGGTGAATAGTTATCTAGTCGGGTAGTTAGGTGGGTACTTAGCTATCTAAGTGGGCATTTAGGTGGGTACTTAGCTAGTTAGGTGTTTAATTACTGAGCCTTGTGAGTAGTCAGCTAGTTAGGGTTGCAGAGAGTTGGGTAATTAGGTATGTAGGTAGCAAGCTAGGTGAGTTGTTTGGCTGGTTAGGTGGATAGGTAGCTCATTTGTTAGGTGGGTGGTTAGGTGGGAAGGTAGCTGGTCAGGTAGCTAGGTAACGGGCTAGTTAGCTGTCTAGTCAAGTAGGTTGGAAGGTAGATGGGCATTTGACTAGGTAGCTAGTTAGAGCAGGTTTTTTTTGTTGGTGATGTGTGTTTGTCTAGTTGGGTGGGTATTTACCTACTTAGATGTTAAGTGGTTAGTGTGCAGTTAAGTCAGTAGTTAGCTGGATAGTTATTGAGCCAGGTGGCTAATCAGATGGGTTGTTAGGTGCGTTCTTAGCTAATTAGCTTGTTAGGTAGTTTGGTGGTTAGGTGGGTATTTTGTTGTATAACGAGCTAGTTAATGTGAGTTGTTGGACAGTTGGCTAGCTAGTTAGGTGGGTAGTTCGCTGGATAGACGGGTGGGTTTTTTTTAGGTGGGTAGTTAGCTAGTTATGTGGTTAATTAGCTAGTTAGGTATTTAGTTACACAGATGTGTAGTCAAAGATTAGGTAGTTAGCTAGATAGGTGGAGAGCATAGTAGGTGGGTAAGTAGGGTAGGTAGGTGAGTAGCAAGCTAGGTGCTAGTTAGCTGGGCAGTTAAGTGGGTAGTTACCTAGTTAGATGGGTAGTTATCTAGTTTGGTGGTTTGGGAGGTAGCCTGATTAGGAAGTAGTTAGGTGAGAAAACTAATCAAGTTAGCTTGATAGGTTTGTAGTTAGGTGGTCATTGTTGTGTAGTTAGCTAGTTATACAGGTTGTTAGGTGGTCAGGTAGACATGCAGGCAGTTAGCTTGTTAGGTGGGTAGTTAGGTTGGTGGTTAATAAGGTTGGTAAGTGAGCATTTGGCTAGTTGGCTATTTGGGTGAGCAGCTAGCTTGTAGGGTTGTGGATATATGGGTGGATAGCTAGGTAGCTGGATAGGCTGGCAGTGAGGTGGGTAGTTAGGTAGTTACTTGAGTATCTAAGAGGGTAGTTAGCTCCTTAGAATGGTAGTTAGGTGGGAGGTTAATGGGGCCAGGTAGCAAGCTAAGTAGGTAGTTAACTAGTTAGTTGGAAGGTTAGGTGGGTAGCTAGGTAATGGGTTAGTTAGCTAGTTAGGTGTATTTTTAGGTAATTATTTGGTTAGGTGGGTAATTACCTAGGTAGGTAGACAGTTAGCCAGTTCAGTGATTAGGTGCATAGCTAGTTAGGTGTTTAGTTCACTGGGAGGCTAGGTGGGTAGTTAGCCAGTTTGGTGGGTGATTATCTGGTTAAGCAGGGAGTCAGATGGGTAATTAGCTGGTTAGGTATGTTAGCTAATTAAATGGATAGGTAGGTAGTTCGATGTGCTGTTAGCTAGGTGGAGGGCTAGCTAGCACAGTGGGTGGGTAGTTAGGTAGTTAGCTAGTTGGGGGGCACCTGCCTGTGTTTGTGGGGCAGAACTTCTAGAGAGGGTCCAGCATAGAGCAACAAATAGGAGATCAAGGGACTCAAATATCTATCATATGAGGAAAGATGCATGAGAAAGTGAACGAGGCCTGTTTAGCCTGGAAAAGATTGAGAGGGGACTTACCAATCCGTACAAATACCTGAAGGGAGAATGTAAAGGAGATGGGGCCAAACTTCTCAGTGAGGGGCAGTGACAAAACAAGGGGTAATTGAAACACTGGGAATTTCCTCTCCCTCTGAGGAAGAACTTCTTTCCTGTGAGGGTGACAGAGCCCTGGAACAGGCTGCCCAGAGAGGTTGCACGGTCTCCTTCTCTGGAGATCTTCCAAACCCACCTGGATGCCACCCTGTGCCACGTGCTCTGGGTGTCCCTGCTGGAGCAGGGGGTTGGAGCAGATGGGTCCCTTCCATGCTCACCTGTTCTGTGATTCTACAAGGTGCCTGCTCACTTTTGCCACAGTATTTCATAGAAAATTATAAGGACCAGGTCTTATATCTTACAAAAAGCAGATTTAAATCTTTCCTCCTACTTTTAACTTAAACAACTGTTCAAAAGGATTAAAAAAAAAAAGACTCTGTCAACCAGTTTTTGATCTCAGGATCTTGAGTGCTTTGAAGGGTTCTAGGTTCTAGTTCTCCTATTGGAGACTCTGAGAATACCTGAACTGCTACTGTGGAAAAAAAAATCTTAAGTAAATAATCATCTGTGTAATATTCAGCTATTAGGATTATGGCTGTAGCACATTCTGATACAGCTTTAACAGAACAGAAGACAAGCTGGAAAAAAATCTGAATCTATGATTAAGAGAGATGGGAATTAAGGGGAATCTGCAAAGAGAGAGTAGTCTGCAAAATGAAATAATATTTAAGAGGCTGGATACAGTGTTTATGCCTGCAGTGTACTTCTGTAATGTTTTCATTTTGAAGTGTTATTTTGTTTACAAGTTTATTTCTTTATTCACAGAAAAACACTTCCAAAAAGTACAAAGGAAAAGAACACAGTTGAAGGGACATGCCTGTGAACAGCATCATTATGCACATAAAAACAATAAAAACCACACAGCTTTCCAGAGGAGAGGATCCAGCATGCACTGAAATCAAAAGGACCTTTACTAATACCTTCCCCATAAAAAGTGGGCATATTGCTATTTGTATCTATTTTTTAAAAAAAGAAATATTTGTACTTTATTGAAAACAAATAAACTATACTCACAATATGATTACATTCTCAAAACGAGTATCTGTTATTGCTTTATGCACAATAGCGACCTCAGTATCAAAAACATCAGCTCCCATTCTGAACAAACAAAACACTGCATAACACTGTGATTCTGGGAAGAACCAAAAGTTTTTTTTTTAAGTGATGTTACCACAGCATTAAATATTTCCTTTAAACAAGGAATGTTAAAATGAACATCTACAGAATTTCTGCAAAATATCATGCAATTTAGAATTTTCTACAAATACTTCAATTATCAGGGCTGCAGTATTGATAGAAAAACATTTGCAAAGGACAAAACACCTACCTCTGGTCAGCTTGATACTCAGCTGAAGTGTATACTAACAGTTTCAGAAATACTAACAAAAAGGTAATTTTTAAATACAACTTTAATTTTAAGCAAAAAAAAAAAAAAAAAAGAAAAAAGGTGTGATCCAAATCCTGTATCAGTGTATTAACGTTCTCTGTAGAATTAGGCTATTTTGCTCTGCTTAGCCCCTCTGACCCTATTGAAAAGCAAAGGGAAATCAATGCCAGGTGACAGCTGGAACAGATTTGGAGTTAATCTCCATGACACAGCAAAATGCATGTACTTTAAGGCTATCCAATAATCCACTCAGCACCAGCAGACAACTTTCATTTATATTTCTCACTGGAGACAGCCTGCATACACTCTCTTAAATGAAGAGGAGAGGTAGAAAAACATGTTTAATCAGGAGTTTTTCACTTATCCAGTTAATAACTTTTGCTGTTTCTTCCTCCAAAATTCTTCCTCAGGAAGACTTTCTAGGGACTAGAGTTAAAATATACAGAACCACAAGACTTTGAATTATCTCAGTATGCCACAGTCACACATTTAAAGTGCTACTATGCAGCAAGTGCAGTTAAACATGGATTTCCAGAAAGACCAAAGAATGGCTTGAAATTAGTACAGATTTCACCACCCAGTTTAGAAATTCAAGGCCTAAGCAGTAGTTTATTACTATATAGTTCATCACATCTTATATATACTTTCCTTATTGCTAAAGTGATTAGAGCCTTTCCACACCAATAGGTATTCAAATAGCTAAAAGGATAAAAAAAGTAGGGAAATTACATTATAGGCCATATTTTAGATATGTGATCAAAATAAAATACAAGTAGTTTTTGGTTTGTTTTCCTGAAGTTCTGGAGGTAACTAGATCTACTCAAATAAGAAATATTTCTGTTTTATTACCAATGCCAAAGGAAAATTAATCGCTTGGTTCAACTTGAAGAGTCACCTTCTTAAAGTATTCTTTACCTTAGTATAAGTCTCTTTTAAAAATTTCTGAAATTACATCAGAATGGCTGTGTAACATAGTTGAGACATGTTTGCATCATGGACAGAAAACACCTAAACTGAAATGTAGGTTGTGCTAGAAACCACTTACCCACCTACAAGAAAATCTTCCATTTTTTAAGTGAAAAAAAAAAAAGAAATACTTTTAAAGTCTTGTTCTACCAACCACAAAGCAAATAGCATTTGTAATCACATTCCTGATTAAAAATTTTTAGTTTACATACAAAGTTTGGAAGTCTTTGTCAAAAAATATCCTTCTGTATGGGAAGGATATTAGAGAAACCATTATACAACCATTATGACAGACATGTTTGTCATTTAACTATTAGTACTTTCTTTGATAACTTTCCAATTTATCTACTCAATTCACTGCAGTACTGAGGCTTCTCCCCCCTGCCAGTTTTGAGATCATAAATTAAGGAGATAAGTGTTTCTTTGTAGTCCTTTCCTAAAAGACAAATGAAGTCAAGATTTATAATGCCAAAGCTGGTTTCTGAAGTACAACACAACAGTCTTTTAAAGAATATGCAGTATATTACATGACACATGATGGCACCAGTGAACAGTTGAATAGCTCAACTGTGTTCTGGTAAAAATCTTTATTATACAGGAACATTTCTTCTCCAGAGCTTATCTTCATATGAAGACGGAAAAATCCACATACAGAATGATAAGATGCAAATATTACTAATATTTTGGCAATAGATTGTCATATATTTCTATGAGGTTTTACAATCAAAGTTGCGTGTTGATCTTAATTGAAACTGCATAAAAGTGAACACTTTCAGAAATTAGTGTAACTGAAAAAGTTTATATTTAGGCAAATTATTTTATCTATAGGATATCTCATTATACATGCAAGTACAGTTCTGAAATTTACAAGAGCATCTGTTTAAAACATTCATCAAGCCTAATGATTTTTCAATAGGGAATTGTTTTAGACTGCCACAACTTCCTAAAAATCAATACCTCACCATTTTCTGAAACTGCTTTCCAGTTTCAAAGATGCGTTTGTACAGTAGTCAAAGGTAAAAATATTTAGAAGTTTGTAAAATACAGAAATAGATAAAAATTTGACTTAAACTTCCTCAAAACAGTTAAGGAAGTTTCTCACAAAACATGAAATATTAATCTCTGTCAAAGACAAAGAACAGAATGTTTCCTCCCTAAAAGAGGGAAAAGTCTTACAAACATACAGCAGATGTGAGAACAAAGCTCTGAATGACAGTGCTAATGTACTTAGTAGCTCATGTGAACAGTTAGAGTACTGGATTAAAGATTACTTCTGTATGCCACTTAATACCATGCAAACTGAAAAAAATACATTTTAATCAGAAAGTCATCAGGCTATAGATACTCAATTGTTTGAACAAGTTTAACATGATACTTGTAAATCAGTTCTTAATCTATTCTTCAGCTGCCATTTATCAAAAACAAAGATCAATTTTCACACATCTTCATCTCAGTTATAATTAGCTGTAAATCCACGTGGATTTAAACCGCATACAGTCAAGCACTGCAGTTAATCAGTTTCAAATCCAATGATTCCCTTTGGCATTTATTAGAATTTTATAAAATTATTTCTTCAGAAAACAATATATTAAGATGTTGATCAACAAGCATAAGAGTGCTAGATGCATAAATTACATAATTTATTCTTGCACGTTGGGCATTAAATAAGTAAAAATAATTAATAGAGAAGTCTGTGGATAAGGAATCCACTTCTCACTCTGACATGTAGGTACTTTCCTTAGGAGAGATCTCAGTGCTTTTGCATAGCCAGCCCTGAACCTTTTACGCCTGACCCACAATTACATTATCTAGATAATAGTCTAAGCTTCTGGCATGTGCTAAATATATGATACATTTATAAGTATGTGGATTAATGTATTAGTTTCCCCTAAAAAACCTATTCTGGATGTTCAGTTCTTAAATTACACGCTCTATCATAGTCCATGATCACCGCTCAGTCATTGCGATCCTCTTTTGGAGGGTTCCGCCATGACATCTGCATCCTCAGCAGGGCGGGCTCGCCTTCCAAACCCACAGGGCAGCTCCCACTGCGCTTCCCCCGGGAGTCAGCAAACAAGAGATGGGAAGGGGCAGCACCCGTGTCAGTTCTATACAGGGATTGGGAAAGAGAAGGTAATGAGACGTAACAGCTGGGAACCTGCCACGGCTCTAGCAGCAGACAGGGCCTGGGTCCCTTGCACTGGGACAACGTGAGAGGTCTCAATAGGATGCGTATATTAGTATCACTCCAGGGACTCCTAGCCATTTCTCTGGCGCAGAGGAAAGCAAGGATTTAATAACAAATAGGTAATGACTATTTGATGCATAACGGTTACACTTCTACCCTTCATTTGTTAGGCAGACCCTGTATAATCAAAGGAGGCCTTTAAAGGGCGAAGGAGGGAATTCACATCCCCATATGGCCATACTGATTCTAAGGGATTTAGGCACTGTTAAATATTTTTCCAACGTTCAAAGCATTAAAGCTTATTTATCTCTGAAATGTATTTAACATTTACTGACAAAAAAAAAAGAAAAAAGTATTTCCCGTTGTGAGAGTCCCTGAAACTAAAGGGGAGATAAATAAAATATTCAAAAGAACCTGTGTGACTTAGAAGCACAAGCTGCTTTGAAGTGCAGAGGATTCAGTATCCCTGAACCACATACACGCTTTAAAACTACCATCTTGTTTGTGTATGTTATATAACTAGTCACTGCTCTACCAATTAGCTGCTGTAATTAAGAGATCACTCAGACATACACCTGATATAGCAACCTTTGCTCTGCATGCTACTCAGCTGTTTGACCCAATGTCTGAAGACTTGCCAAAAAGAAAGATGAGAGGTTTGAGATCTATGCATTTAGACTTCCAGCAGTCAGCTCTTTAAACATTACAAAAAGTCAGGTGTTCCCTATTATAGCCTATTGAAATTGCTTTTCTATAAAATTAAAGATGGTCTTGCAGGTACAAGTCATTAGACTTTCGAGGATAAGCTGGAAGGTACATCATCAATTTTCTTAATTCCTTGTAATAATCTACTGCAAGGTTTATTTACTCTGGATACTAAAAGGCAAGTAAATTCATTTTCCCGTTTCCAGCTTCAAAAGAATCAAGTGTTGCCAACTTTTCTTCTTCTGTACACAGGAGTAAGCAATTTCTGTATTGGTTATATAAAGGTTACAGACAAGAGGCACCTCCTCCTCTATTAAGAGAGACCAATTACAAATTTGTGCATTGTTAATATTATGAATTTACATGTAGGCAGTTCTCTGTGTAGCCAGCCTATAAATCACAGGCTGAACCTTAAACTGAGTCAAAACAAACTATAGATAATGAGTAACAACAGAGTATTCTTCCTCCATCTGCAACTGTTCCTAACTTCTAGCCATATAAGGTGAAATTAAAGTGTCTAGTTACTGCCAGTATCTTGACTTCAGAGATGATTAAAGTATCTGAAACCCGAGAGTTCTGAAGAAACAGGCACAAAATTCACTTGGAAACTCAAGACACTTCCACAATTTTCCCTCTCAACCACCATCATCATCATATCTGGATTAAGCTTTATCCAAACTTCAGTTTTGGCCAGACACTGCAAAAGAACTGCATTTGCACTCAGCTCAAAGATATCAAAGAGCATCCAAAAATTAAAAAAAAAAAAAAAGGGGGGGGGGAAAAAAAGGAAAAAAAAAAAAAATATCTAATGACTATAGCTGACAATTCAAAGGACTCCTTAAGATAAAACTCTAAACCACACATGACAGAGACAAGCCAAGTAAAGAGTACAGGGGAGTATGAGTTTAAGAAAGTGATACAGCTGTTCAGATACATCTCCAAGTTTCTCTGCTGTGTTCTGGACATGTGTCATCACAAGCCTGTGGTCACCGACGCCAAAGCTCAAAGGCTCTATGAATCAGCATATGTACGTATTTGATATTACTCTTATTAAAAGCATAAATAAAAGATAAAGCCATGTAAAGTGATTTCTCTTAATAGGACAAACACAGCAAAATGGCATTAATTACAGAATATCACAAGTTGTGTTAATTTTTGAAGTAAGCTTTTATGACAGTATTTGATGCAGATTTGACAGTTAAAAAAATTCTTCAAAAAAATCCCCTAAGACCACATTTCTAAAAGTAAAAAATTGGTTTGTTACTATAGATACAGTTTACTGAAGCTAAGTTGCTACATGATATTTAAAGTAATAATCTGAAAAAGATAGTTTCAAAGTTCAATTCTGTTCAGCACAAAAAAGGCAAATAGACCATGATACTTTATTTCATTCAAGAATTATAATGTGAAAATACTTTCAACTAAAATGATTTCTCTTTCAAGTTATGTTGTATTGATTACTTTGATGTAGTGAACAAAAATGGCCAGCAGAGGGTACCAATTAACCACGATGATGACATCATTAAAGAGAATTTATTTAACATGAATGTAACATGAATGAAAAGCAGATAGATATGTATCCTGACTTCAATACTTTTCCATGCTTAATTCCTTGGTTTGGTACCATTTTGAAAGCTGAGGGTAACAAAACAGACATATTACTTTGATTACCAGAGGTTCACATGCTTAAATTCTGGTAGATAACATCCCTAATACAATCTGCCTAGAAAATAATTACATTAACATTTCCTAAATTAAAATAACATACCAAAATCATCTTTTTTGTTTGTTTATTTTGGCAACAGTAGCATTGCAACAATATGGGGGAAAGGAAGGGTTTATATCTACTTTTCTAGACAGGCTGCCTAAGAATACATTCTGACAAAAGCCTATTTCATAGTGCTCTGGGGTACTGTTACTCACCATTCTTCAGGTCTGTAGGAGATTGTCTCCTCTTTTCGGTTCTGTAGCTCTGTCCTGCACATATGTATGTGGGCACTGCAAACCATCAGGTTCTGCATGCAACAGCTGCTCTTTCTGTGTACTCACTGCAAGTAGGTTACAGATGCCTTCTCACATGTGGAATTCAAAGTTAATCTTCTCTTGGATGTCACATTTCTACATACAAAAAACAAGATACTAAGCAAAAATCCAGCTAATATACTGATTTTTTAAAGTTATATTTGATATATAATTGTAAGAACAGGAAACATTACATTTTAATTAATGTGCAGCCATTAAGTTTTTGTTTGTTTTTACAAAATGTAAATGATTATTCTTTCTTCAGCACAAAAGACGTACTATTAAAAAATCGGATGTAGCACATTACATATGTACACTATTCATATAAATTCCCAAATAAATAAAAAAAATAACTCACTGAAAGGTCACTGCATCAGGAAGTTATTGGATATTTACATGCTCAGCTGTGGCATAAAAATAATTCACTGAAAGGTCACTGGATATTTACATATCTCACTGGATATTTACATGCTCAGCTGTGGCATTCACAGGATAGCAGCATATATATTCCCCTCATACAGTTGAGGAAGCCTAACTGAACAAAGCTTATAGAACTAAAAATAATATTAAAAATCTCAAAACCCAGGAAAACACCTAAAATGCCTTCAATCAGAAACAAGAACTTGTTACTTCTTCAGCCATTTTGAAAAAAAGAGTTAAACTGATTTTCCACCTGTAGCTGATATAAAATTTGGATAACAGCTGAAAGTAATAAAAGGGAATATGCAAAGACTTTCAGATTGGACACAAGCTAAAAGCCAAACAGCTGTGATAAAGACTACACAAGAAGCATGCCTCACCTCATGGCAGTCATGTACACAGTGCTTTTCATTCAAAATAAGAAACTACAGATATGCCTATCAGTCACTAGAATTCTGCATCACTTATTTTGAAAGAGTACTTTTTAATGTATTATAAAACCTCTGAAAAGTTATCATGCTTATTTAAATACTTTTTTTTATATATAAGCTTGCATTATTCCTCATTTGCCACTTCAAACAGGTCAATCCACACCAGCCTAGAAGATAATCATGGTGAAAGTATCAAAGGTTGTTCACCCTGTGTCCCAAAGGTGGGCTAGTTTCTACTGACAACTATGATACCTGTTCCCTTCTTATGCGGCCACCCCTAGCCAATCCAAGGCTGTTCAATGTATACAAAAAACAGCACTAAACAAATCTTCTTCCTTGTTTTCTCTGCTCACATTGCCCTTTCCTAAATGCCTTAATGAAGATGTTTAGGACTATAGAGGGACATTTTGCTGTACAAATGCTTATATTGCAAATACACTGCAAGTCAATAGCTAAAGAGGATTTTTCAGTGTCAAGCAACAATGTCTCAAATACCTCTAAAAATAAAAACAATTCATTGGTTTTCATAGTACATCTGAACTCAAAACAGGTGCTTTGGAGCTACTTTATCAGGCTGTGACTGAAGCCCACAACGCAATAATTACAATGAAAAAATTCCCTACTTCAGCTGGTAGAAAACTATTAGCAGCTGTTCTCCCTCAAACCTCTAGACAGGCTAGAATTAAAATGGAACGTGTACATTCCTCGTAACTCAGCTGTCTGAGAGATTTGGAACTCAAAAGAGGGGTAATGAAGAACACTTTTTTCTTTATTCCTTATTTTATCCCTCACTGTACTCCTGTAGGACTAACTACACTACACACTTGGAAAGCCCTCTCTCGTTAGCTACCTTTGAAACAAGAAAGGGGGCCTTGCATCAGCCACAAAGGCGTTGGGAACCTCACTAACTCATCACCACCCCTGCCCCCCTGCCTGCAGAGAGGAGGCTCCGTGTTTTTGAAGGGTTGGCGCCAGCATGCAACAGGCAAGAGAAATACTTAGTGCTCAGCAGCTCTTCCACCTGCTCACAGACCACCTCGCCCCCCAAAGCACCCCCCTGCTTACCCTAAGGGAAGGTAGCTCCACTCCACTGATGCATCCATCTGCATGCACCACTACTGCAACTTCCACAACTATACAAGGATTTAATCCATCCCGCATCACAGCAAGGATCAAAATAATCAGGACTAGCATTAGATGATTGTGAGACCAGAGTTTAAATAATTTTACTGCATAAATCTGAGTGAAAGGAATGACTTAGCTGCCTTCATTTCAAATCCCTGAAGATTTTTGAAACTGATTTTTTTTGCCAGTTTCCTCTAAAAATACAAGTATACCATCTGGACTTAAGGGAATGACACAGCACTGTTTTGCCATATGCTGTCTACTAACCTACTGCTTTCCCCTGTGGTGCCCAGTTTTCCCCTCACCAGTGGCAATGTAACAGACAAGATTATAAACAGCTGTTGGGATTTGAAGCTCTGTATTCAGAAACTCCCTAAACACCCCTTTAACAGGGCATTGCACACCTCCCTCTCTCAATATTCCTATAATTTCAGAATTTTTAATAGATTTCCTAGCCTTGCACAGATGATGTAGTCATCATAACAAAATCATAACAATAAAGACATAATCCACCAACAGCTACTGAAAATGGTAAAGAACCCATTGGAGAATCTGATATCTTAAATATAATCCTAAAAAAAATATATATATTCTGACATACTTCATATTTGCTACCGCTTAAGCCTAAGCCTCATAAGTCTACCATATTTAAAGTAATCAATTAGCAAGGCAGTAAGCAGTCTTTTAGAACACAGGCTTTAAAGTCAAAAATACTAACCTAAGAAATTTACTTATAGAAACAAGTGTTTGCTGAAATAGTAATAGCCTTTTACAATCACAGGCCAGTTCTAACTAATTCAGGTTTAGAAATCAATAACATAAGAATTAAAGAGCAAGAAAGGGATCAACTCCACAGACCTGAGACCTTGAGGAAGATGAACAACAAATCTCAGCACACCAAAGCAGCACCCACACTGTCCAACAAGCTAGCCAGCTTTCTCCTTTCCACAGTACATTTAACCTTTTCACACTGCAAACAAACCTCAGCTTTCCAGAGTTGTTTTACTGCATTTAACCTGAATTGCTGCTTCCATCCTAGCAGTGGTCAATTCGGCCCAGCAAAAGTAAGTGCCAGCAGGATACAGGTGCCGCCCATGAGCTCCGAGTAACCGGCGCAGGGCAACTGCCGCGTGAGGCCTGATTGCACCTGAGGAGCTCAGGCCCGCACCAGCTCCCAGCCAGGGGAGATTCCCCCCGACACCCCAGCGCCAGCAGCGCACAGAGCTGCAGGGAGCGGGGTGACCGGGCTGGCCCCGGGCACACGGGACTGCGGGCGAGGACCTCCCGCCCGAGGCTGCCACCCCATGGGGAGGGGAGTCGTGGGCGGGAAGCGCCTCACCGGCTCCTCGCGCCCGACGCGCATCCCCGTTGCATCCTCCCTAACGGCAGGCGCGGTCCAAAACCCCCCCCCCGCACGGGCAAAAAAAAATGGGGGGGCGGGCGGGGGGTTTTTTTTTTTTTTTTTTTTTCGGGCTGCAGCGAATATATTATTAAACGCAGGAATGATCAACATCATTAAATACGTTATTTTGAGATGCAGATAAATGTACTGAAATGCACTAATACGTACTATTTTGCTAGAACATGGAGTGCTGAATAATAAATTTCAAGGCAATATATTTCTGTGCACCTGGTAACTTCTCTGAAATAGGTCAATGCCACATCTTTTTGATTAATATTCTTTAAATGAGCTAAAAAGAGAGACTTATAACTGCCTTCCTAATAGCTGTTCAATATTTAGTTACCACTGGCATGAATTTTTAACCATATTTCTGCAGTTCACTTAATTATGCTACTTTATTATGATGATACCTCGATAACTGAGCTAGTAACATGTGTTGTGGAAAGCATATTATTATATATTAAAATATAAAAAGTCCATGAATTATTCATTGCATTGATTGGAAAGAGAGCGGTTTTTCTTCTCCACTGCCCGTTTTGCTGCTCTGGTCACCCTGGGCAGCTGAGCCAAAGCAGTGTCTTTATACGTACCCTTGTCCACGATTTCTTGGCTTTTCCCTCTAAATTCCTTCTCCAAGGTTGCAAATCCCTCCTAGTCACAAGCAGGGAGTCTCACTGCTTTGCACAGAGCTGTCAACATTTGGGTGCAGGAAAATGTGCAGGGATGAGTGATATGCAGCATGGTTAGCAGCTTTCGGAGAAGACAAAATTATCCTGGTTAGCATATGCTTGTTTAAAAATACATTAAAAATGCAGTTACAAGGGAAAATGTGCAAAGCCTCCTTGCAGTGTCAGGATTTCATGTAGGCGCTTGGAGGGTCTGTTCGTTCCTGACACTACCTGGGCATAAACACAAGTGGGTGGCTTTCTCCTCAGAAAACAGCAGGCTTCTGGACACAGATAGCCGAGGTGTCCAAGACTGGGACTGGGAGGAATTCCCTCGCAGGGCTAGAGGCAGAGCGAAACAAAATCCTCCCTGCAGTCCTGGTGCATCCAGCTGAGTGTCTCCCCTCGTGGTCTCAACCACAGCATTCAGGGTTTTAGACACACCAAGGCAGCTCCATCAAAAGAAGAGAGAGGCAGTAAGGCATGTCTTGTAAGGGATGCTCTCGCCTCTCTGAATTATGTGGGGACAGGATTTGAACCTCACAAAATGCTGAATAATCTGCTAGGCTACAAGGAAAAACTAGAACCTGGAATATGACATGGCTGAGCTACACAGAAATTTCAAGTCACAGTCTCAGGTTAACTGGAACAGTCTTTTTGTTTAATAAATGCTTATCTGAAAAAAATAAAAAAAAAGTGAGGAAGAGCACTGTTCTCCACAAATAGCAATGGCTCAAATGCTTCAGGGGCTATTACTTAAACTATGGCAGCAGGAGGAAATGAGTCTTACGTATATCTTACGCAGAAACTAATAAGGCAAGAATCACTGTCTAATTCTGCTCACTGAAATTCACTTGCAGACTGGCAAGATAGTGCGCTACCATACACCAGTAACAAGAAATTTTAAAAAAAATCTCTTGACTTCCAGCCCAGCCTCATCCTGGGCAGCTCGGCACACCTTTAGGCTAGGATCATTCCTTTCTAGAGCAAATCCACTTGTTGGAGTTTCCCAGG